ATAACCCTAAAAGAGCCGCTAGATATCTTTTACGGAATCCAAGGGATTTTTGCTGGGGCACCGTAGGCGCGCAGCTCGTATGTAATGGCCTCCTAGTGATAACATACATCTGTAATCTCGTGAGCTATTTCATTACTTTGTCTTCCTAACTTGCTAAAGATGCGGTGCAGATAAGATTGACTAATTTTCTCAGTATTTCCTCAGAAGTGCCGCGAATCTTCATTAGGTTGGCGTCATTTGGCAGGCTTAGTGGCCGATTCGGGAGATATCACCGACGCAAGCACGTCATTTGCAATTCTCCCAGTCACCTCTATTAAAATATCGCTCACTTCTTCGTTTTATCCATCTAAGATATAATAAATTATTATAATGTGACCGTAAAAGGGTTTTTTTTTTCATCTTAATTTTGAGGCACCCAATCAAAAAAAGGTGAACCTTTATTTATTAAAAATTCTTACCTACAATGCTATTCTGGATCCAAATCTATTGAGTAGTTACAGATTAAAAAAGTGACTTTTTCTATTAGTAATATCTATAATTTTCATCTAACTAATTGTAAGTATTCTGAAAAACTGGCTACCATAGAAAAATCATTTGATTTTTCTTTTAATCGGGTTAGAAGAATACATGGATCTTTTTAATCTGCCTTGCTCAAATTCGTTCATTGACTATTCATCCGTGAGTAGCATCCAATCGAGGCGAATTGAGGGTAATTCAAGCGATAAAAGTCAAAGTGAAAGCAAGTCGGTGTACGCTAAAAACCCTTTGGCGTGTGTAGCAGGCAAGTTGGTGGCGCGTGCCCTAGGTACTAGCACACCATTACAGGGCCAAGTGGTAAAGTTTTGTGCTCGCTTCATGGACGATTCATCGCGCCTCGTTAGGGCTCACGGCTGAATGCCGTCTTAGCACTCCTCATTATTGCGTTTATAAAGGCGCCATAGAGAAGCCTGATTCACTAAGACTCGCTCTGTTGCGATGAAAGAGAAAATGAGATTGTGTAGATGTTTTGTTCAGCTAAGTTCTCTTTTTATACTTTTAGCTGTTAGCTTAGGTTGTAGATACTAAAGAGATATTTCGTGTCAATGCACTGTTTTGTTTACTTAACGATGTGATATATTTTTGTTATGATAGTTAAGTAAAATATATTGTAGCCATATCTAGAAGTCAAATACAATTTAATTAAAACTTTTTAGCATTTTTAACAAACGTGCTGTTAATGATGCAATGAATTTTGTAATTGTAATTAATAAATCTCTTTTTAATTGCGAGAAAGCTTTGGGAGCTCTCTAATCTGGCATTGATTACAAAATCAATATCTAGGAAGCGTAACTATTGTCAGGTGTTCTCCCTTGCAACATTAATTTGTTGGCCACCGCGAAATAGGGTGTGGATACTTTATCATCGTTTATTTAGATTAACTTTCATATCGCCTTAATTAAAATGACCCCAAAGACCGATCGTGCCACTAAAATGATGAAGGTATTTACGTAATTATTAATATATATATATATATATATATATATATATATATATATATATATATATATATATATATATATATATATAGATTGTGTATCAATTCATAGAAAAAACACTTCTACTATTATTGTAGCATTGTACTTTCAAAGGACTTTTGGGTTGTTGTTGAGGCGTTACCTGGCAAATTAAGACTTTACTTCCTAGAACTTCCTAGTATGTCACGACATATTCCATATATGTCACGATCTCGCCTAGGAACCTCAGTATGCAGATAATTACGTCAAACCATTCCTTGTAGTGTCGCGAAATAATGATAAAACAACAATTATATATTTATATCTTGGAGATCATTCTAATTTTCATAAGGTTCATGTCTCAAATAACAAAACTATTAATATAAAATAATTCAGCTTGTATTTATTTCCAATCACTCTTATTAAGAGTAGTTACAGAAATTTCTTCATTATGTCAAAAAAGTAGCACTTGGGATATTAATGTGCATATTGTTACTAACATACAAATATATAACATGAATATGTATTTCCTAAAACACAATATAGCAGTTTTAACAGTAGTTTTCGTAATATTATTTACGTAAAAAATACAGTATGCGATTCCAAGTAAAAAGAAAACAGCTATTTCTATGCATTGCAGAGTAAAGTAAAACTAAGTAATGCAATGCTCATGGCAAATAGTTTAACTTGAATTTGGTTGCTTAAAATGACAGCATACGACTTAAGCAAGCTATGAAAGAGAGGGATCGGATATTTCTCGGAGAGACGAGCGGTTAGCCGACTTTTACACTGCCTTTATTGTCTCGCACCCCTCGTAAACCCTCCATTGTGTTAGTAATGTCTCAAGTTGTATTAACACCGTGATAACTTTAGTGGGTACGTTCACTGTTGATTACTTCGTCCACAATTAGTACGGTATAAGTGGATAATTTTGATAATTTAAATGGGCCGATCATGTTGACGGTTACTAATAGGCTAGTATTATAGCTTATATTGAATTTGCAATGGGACGAGGTGTTTAGTGAATGATAATGAAACATAGCGTTATACAAATATATTATATTCGACTATGTTATTATCTTATAAATACATTACAGACGCAGAAATTGTTATTTAAAAAGTTTATGCATATTCTAATTATACTTATATTTGCCAATTCCTACAGATTTTATGATTAGGAAGTTTCAAATCGTATTTAATAAATGTTGCAAAAGAATTCAAAGTCCATTAGACTTATCAAAATCCCTCATCTAAATGTCAAACGCGTTTCTTAACTTTTCAATAAGAAAACATTTAAATTCCATTACGAGTGCGTTTAAGAAGTGAAATCAAAACAAAGTTTTCCTCACATCCGATATAATGAAAGGCAAATTAAAACAAAGAGCCTTGCTCATTTTATGAAGCCTAAGCTATTTGAATGCAAAAAAAAATTCTAACAAATTTAGCGGTTTCGATTGATGACGTTTGTAATGAGAAAGTTCAATAGCTAACAACAAAGGCCGATACAAGTTAACGATGCTCACGAAGGCGAATTTCATGATGGGAGCGAGCTCTGGCGGACAGGAAATTAAAAGACAAAAGAGTGCCGCTCGAATAATATAGGTTCGGAAATGGAGGGCGTGCCGTGCCTTTCGCTTCTTTATCGGAGCCGCTTAGCCACTACCACCTTGGATCAGATGCTAAATTATGATTGAAATGCCTAACAAAAACATCTTCGGTAAATACTTTTCAGTCATATACAGTAAAATACAAGCAAATTACTCGTAAATACAAACACTTTTACTATACCTAATACATCGAAATTTTAATAATATTATCATTAGAAAATTTTACGCAAATTTACGTTTAATAAGAGGTAGAGAAAAAAAATGTTTTTAAAATGACTTCATCCATTCAGCGAACAATTTTTGACTAAACTGAAAGGTAATTACGATTCAAATGTAATTAATCCGCTTTTATACGGAAATCTTAGGCGTATATATGGTTTCTGTAATTCAGGCGAGCTAAGTAATCCATTCGTATGTGTTGATATCGTATTGCAAGGGAAGACCCAATTCTCGGATCTTTCATTGACTTATTGAAACAAATTTTAAGTCAATTTATGATATTAAAATCTTTATACATTGTAAGGTTGTCGGTGAAGTTGCGATACAACTCTTCCCTACTTACTGTATATTGTAGAATGTAGGATGATAAAATATTCTAGCTTATATTAATCAACGGCGTGCTCTCATCTTAACTACACCTGGACCAATATCCGTATTCCGTATGTTAATAGCAGTCATTAGTATTCTCATTCGACTCAATACGACCGTATATTGTACAACTGTAAGCTGCGATACGAAGTCCTTTATTTGTTTTAATATCCAACGTTTCATATCGCAAATTGTATTCGTTGGTTTAGATAAACGAGTTATTGCACATTTGAGTCCGAGCAGGATAACTGACAAAGCGTTGGAACGAGCGCCATATTCCTGACTTTGTTTCCTAATTCAATTTGCATTCGGAATCAAAAACTTTTCGTGACACTGTTTTGCATTATTAATACTTTGGCATGGCGTGATCTCCCGAGAGGCTTACTAGAAGCCATAAATTGAATTCCAACCTTCGCAATTAGTTATTCCCGCGCGTGAAAACTTTCGAGATCGTTCGCCTTCGTTAACAGATGTTACGGTGCTATTCATTATACATTCCGTCGAATTGTAAAGCCGAACATTTAATTTAAAGTACCAAACGCTCCTTTGTTGAATATTAGAACGTTTTAGAAGGTATTGTAAAGGAATCACTTGGGCGGCAGATTAGCGTAGAGTTTAAGCGAGCACCCGTTTGCGCAGGACATTCGTCTGGCGAAGCCGCGGAACAATAAATAAACGTACGCAATATTTCCTCCAAATGGCGAATACGAGACTAGCCGAAACATTAAGCCTCACGTCACGTGCGCCTGTTTCGTAGTCCCTGCAGTAAAGGACAGCAATTTACCTTTATAGTAATATGAAAATTTACGATGTAGTGATAAAATTGCACAAACGATAAAGAGTGGTAATGATTACTTGTGATACATTTTGTATTGTTGTTCTAAGTTTTTATTAATAAATAATAGAGTTTCATAATATTAATAATTTTTGTTTTAAATATTATTAATGGAAAAGCTTAGGTAAATAAATATCTGTGACGATAGAACCACTGTTACGGTACTGTTCTAAGCTATTTTTGCACATTGCACTGAAGATTGTGGGTTTTGTCATCTTGTGGGTTAAATCCCTTCTTTCGGCAGGTTTCATTTCGATAGACAGCTTTTGCTATTCTAAAGGACAAAAAGTGGAATAAGAAAAATATATCACATAATTGATATTAGACTGTTTTATCTCTGTTTACTTTACAAATTATATTCGTTTTATTTTACATTATATTTTTTTAATTAATAAGTTATACTGTGTTAATATAAGTTTTATATATCAAATCTCTTTTTTCTATTACAGGTCCTCGGTGGCGTATACATGAGATGTTATGGGCTCACGCGGCGTAGAAAAGTGCCGTTGGTTGGTGGTAGTAGTAATATGGGCATGTGGTGCTGCAGCAAGAACATTGTGCCCGCCGCGCTGTGTGTGCGACGACGCGCTACGAGCCGCATCCTGTGCGAATGCTGGCTTAGAAATTGTTCCAATTCAACTAAATCCCGAAGCTACTCATATCAATCTGACCCACAATGCAATCGACAATTTGCTGTATACCTTCGCCTTTTACACGCAACTTACCATCCTCGATATTTCTTACAACAGAGTACAAGACTTAGGTAGTAAAAATTTTGATAATAATTTGGAGATGACTCATCTTAATGTTAGTCACAATGCGCTCAAACGATTAGATAAAGATACATTCATTGGCTTGAAGAGGTTAATTGATTTAGATTTATCGAATAATGAAATATCCAATATACATGTACAGACATTTAAGGATCTCACAGTGCTTGAAAGGCTAGATCTATCTAGTAACATGTTAGTTAATTTCGAGGCTGACACATTCGACCCCCTAGCATCGCTAAAAGTTTTATCTCTAAAAAATAATTCCATATTAGAAATTCCATCAACAAATTTAATATTTACAATTCGATTAGAATTTTTGGATCTGTCTGAGAATTTGATTGAACAAGTAGAAAAGCATGGTATACCATATTTAAAAGAATTGAAACATTTGGATTTCAAGAATAACGTGATTGAAAGGGTGGACCAATTGGGTCTACATAATTTACCTTCATTGCGCCATTTGGACCTAAGTGATAATAATTTGACATCGGTGCCTACTTCAGCGCTATCAAAACTTACTAACTTATCACATTTATACTTAAGTGGAAACTTTTTTCATAATATTACATCTTTGTCCTTTCAAAGCCTTTTCCATTTAAAACATTTGCACTTGAGTAGTCTTCACAATTTAGAAAAAATTGATTCAAGAGCTTTTGTAGACAATATCAACCTGCAAAAGATTTGGATGAATGAAAATATAAAAGTACGAGAAGTACCACCGAGGCTATTCCATGGAAATCCGAAATTGACGCATATATTTATGAGAAACAATGCGTTGGAGACACTTGAAGCTTCCCATTTCCCAATTGACACACTACAAGAGCTTGAAATATCTGGTAATCCATTTGTGTGTAACTGTTCTCTTTTGTGGCTATGGAAATTAGGAAGAGATAGTGAATTACGCAATAAAAAATCAGAAAATTCAAGTACTGTACTTAAAATTGATTATGAAGACGTGAAATGTTCTGGACCAGAACACTTGAAAGGTGTTTTGTTTATACAAATTCCGGAATCAGAATTTGGGTGCTCAAGTGGGTGGGTGATAGTGGCGGTTGTGGTGCTAACTGTGAGTATAATAATAAGTGTAGTAGGTGGAGTTCTATATTTCATGGGACCCTTGAAGCGGTGCAAAGGTGATAAATCAAAGCAGGTGATGAACAGTGTTATGTTAAATGGTGATGTGTCTAAATTAGGGAATGGATTAGGATATTCAACACGTAGTAAAGAACAAGACACCAAAAGGGATGTGGATCGGTATCTTATGATAGGTTCATCAGTAACTAATAATTTTCATTCCTTAAACCCTCCTTGGCATAGTATGGACAAAAATGCATATTACCAAGAAGACAGTGAAGAGCATATTTACCAACAATTTGCGTATGAGACAATTCCTCATCACAGAACCCCAGAGAAACCACACATAGTGTATGTTTAACACAAGGTTACAACTATGGACAATATAAACGTAATTTCATATCTCCGCCGTAAAATGCAGAACATTTATATTCATAGTGAACGACGGAGATTCTGAATTTTGCAATAATGTAAATAGTGATTAAAACTGTAATATGTGATAGCTTTGTATATAGACATGTAAATATAATCTACATATATAATGTTTTCGATTTTGTACTTAAATTTTCTAGTGATAACGTCGTTTTAATTGGCCTTTTATTATTATTCCTCTTTGAATGCAGCGGAGTTACAGTTGACAGCTATTAGGTTTATGTTTGCGTATTTTAGTTTATACAGTTAGAACTTTAAATGTACACACAAATGTACAGGTGTACGATACAATCATTAGAGCCTTTTATTATTTTCATTTCCTAGTTCCTCAACATTACGATCGATTTGTAAAATGTAAAATATATTATTATGTCATGTAATATTATCATTATAATATTCATGTAATTGCATAGAAGCTATACATATATTTTCAATATTAGAACACCAAACATGAAAACTTTGTACAAATATGAGCAATATAGATTAATAATTTGAAATACTATAATACGTTAATTTTGATTGGATCATTGTTATAGTGTATAATTGTATTTAGAAGAAAACAAAATAACATGTTTATGTACTGCTTAGAACGATCATACATAGCCTATCTGTAAAGAAGCACTGGGATATTTTCCCTAGTACTTGTGCGATTAACAAAATATTCTTTATATTTAGAGTTATTTTGATTATAATTTTAAGATATTTGACAGTGATTACATATTAAACATTACTATTATAAATTGTTTTCATAATAAAATGTTGTTTTTACTGTTGATTCTTGCGTGTATTTTAAACTATATACACTAGGCTTAATGGAAATATCTCAGTGTGTAATTTAACATATATAGATATCTTATATAAACCAGCTGCTCTGATGGTGAGGGGTACAAATGAAATAAGTACAGTATTTATTGGCTATTTTTGTAGATTCATTTCATGAGAATTATTTGAAGCATTTCGTTGAGAAGATATTAAATTAATATTTTTATACTTAGGGGATATTAATTGTATGTACTTGTGGTTCGAAGTTACTAGCTGTTTTATTTGTTTTTAGTTATTATAAAGATTGCTCAATTGAGTGCATATATTTGATTATGACGATTATAGTTATGGGACGTATTACGAAGAAAATCAACGTTTGTTTATTCACAAACACTCCGATAACACTTCTATCATATTTTCATGATAATACCTTTATGACGCGATATAAAGTTTTAATTAATTGTCCAATGTTAGTAAAAAAGGTCCTGTCCCATGATTAAAGTCGTTTATGAGTAAATAGGTCTATAAAGTGAAATAAATAATCTTTATTATTTATTAGTACTATATAAAGGATATAAAATAATAAAATGCGTTATAATTGTATGTACGAGTAGAATAATATTAAGAAATTGGCCTGAAATAAAAAGTAAGAAGCAATAATAACTTAATTGCCTAACCGTTAAGCGAGCTGGTAACTTCTGAACCATATAAAATAAAATTATAGCTGAAATTAACCTTGCAATATACTTTTTTAATAATTCTATTTATCTCATATACGTTTCATAAAACTATGCCTACATCATAACCAAACAATTATACCTATTCAGTCGATAGTACAGTCATAGTGATAGCTTAAGACTATTTATACATACTTACTACTTTTAAACTTTTGTTATGAAACTTATTTAAATATATAATGCATTGAAACAAACGACAAATAAACAAATAAAATATTAATCTGACTTTTATTATTACCAAAATGTACGAAACGGGGATCGAACGCGTACCCTCTGTGAATGGACCTAAACAATATTTTATTGTTAAACTTAGTCTATTCCGATTGCCATTTAAAAAGTTAATTTCTTTAACTCTCACAAGTTAAAAATAAAATGTCAAACCAATAAAAATAATGTTGATGATATCTATACATAAGTATAATAAAAATCTAAGCCGAATCTGAACATTAAATATTTTTTGAATAGACATTACTATCGATACAGAGGCCGAATCTATAGTTTTAGAATTTTTGTCTGTCTGTCTGTCTGTCTGTTACCGCATAACGGAAAAATTACTGGAGGGATTTTGATGAAATTTCGTATGATGATAGCTGGTTATCCGGGTCAACATATAGGATACTTTTTACCACGGGAAAAAATCTCATTTCTGAGAAAAATACAAAAACTGCATTGTAAGAGTATACTAATATGTAAAACCTAAGAATTTTGTTTTTGGTCATCTGAACGCGGGCGGATATATATAACTGAAATATCCATAATAATTAAACAAAATTGGATAGATCAGATATTTTGTATTGTCAATAGTTACAGACTTATTTGACGTATTTTTATGATTTTTCAATTACATATATTATAAAATATATTGATGAAGAACATAAACGACATATCAGTAAGATAAAATAGTATAGATAAAATTTACGTTCGTAAATTTTTAGTTCGTAAAAGCAAAAATTTGAAAAAGTAAATATTCGTGAGCCTGTAACTTTGTTGTTATTGATGATCTGAAAAAGTTGGCTAGACTTTTTCATACGATTTTAAACGTGCTACAAAGGTATTTAACATTTTTCTGTAACTCTTACAGTTTAGCTAAAAAATGCAAAAAACCATAAATTTGAGCTTCAAAGCTATATAAGAAATCAATTTTTGAAGATAGAAATTCGACTCAATGTTTGACTTTTTGTAGTAAATTTAATACTAAAAAAGGTCCATTCGTTCATTTTATTGAAAAATATTTTCATCACAGTTTACAGGACAAAAATTATTAAAAACCATGTTTTCCATACAATTTGTATGGAAAAACTTAAAAACCGATGGAGAACCTCTTAGAATTGGAATTTTGAGGTCCACTTTTATCAGGAGCTTTATTGGGACATTTTCTGAGATATTTTGGGGTGAGAGTGAAGAAAAAAAAAATATCGTCATTTTTTTGGCACATCCTAATATACACACACACGTATATATATATATATATATATATATATATATATATATATATATATATATATATATATATATATATATGTACCTTTAAAAATAATAATAAAGATATTATTTTTAGTTACTATTGTTGTTTTTTTATTATCTCAACACTATTATTTCATATAAAACAGGATAATACACAACATACGTTGTAATTATACGAAAACTACAATGGTAAAGTACATTTGAATGAAAATTCTATGATATTTTATTATGAAAACATAATTTTACTATTGAGTAATTTTGTAATGTACTAATTAGATGTTAATTAGTTTGCAGTTGCAATTAGACATTAGTCTTGCATATCTTTAATATAGAAAAATACAATTTTATTCAATGCAAAAAAGTTAAAAATACCATTTTTAAAATTACATTTATAAAATTTGTCATATTTATGTAAGCAGTATTATGACTGTATTTAAAATACGACGAAACAGAAAAAAAAATTACATATTTTAACTGAAAAGTTTCTACACTTTTTTATATATTGTCGTAGGATATATCGGAATTATCGCCTTAGGTTAATACGATCAGCAATAATAAGCTAAAATTATGATTTGGGAAAACCTGATAATCCCATCCTAATATTATAAATGCGAAAGTTTGTTTGGATGTATGGTTGTTTGTTGCTCTTTCACGCAAATAGTACTGAATAAATTTTAGTGAAACTACAAAATATAGCTTATACACCATATTATTGCATAAGCTACTTTTTATCCCGGAAAAATGTACGGTTCCCGTGGGATTTGTTTTTGTTAATATTGCGAAAGTTTGGATGGATATTTTTTACTCCATCACGCCAGAACTGCTGTACGGTTCTGGATGAAACCCAGCTCAAAGATATATTAAAGACTGGGCTAATGCATAGATTACTTTCCATCCTGGAAAAATGTACGGTTCCCATGGGATAGACTTTTTTGTCTAAGGACGAACTTGAGCGAAGCGGGTATAAATCGCTAGTATAAAAAATAAGAATTAGATCAAATATCTATTGAGGCACGGGGTTCAGGGGCTCGTTCTCTGATCAAAGGGGTGTCCCTGCATATCTATGTGTAAATAAGAAAGAATGTTAAATATATCAATAAAAATTAATTAGGCTTTTGAGCTAATCCAGAATAGGTGCTATTCCAAAATTTACTTCAATCCATGATATGACACAGCATAATGGGGTATAAAAATACACTAAATTTTCGCACTTAAAGTATTAGAGTGATAATTTAAATATTGTAGTGAATATTCGACTCGATACGCGAATCTGTTTTTTAGTTTTTAACCGACATCCAAAAAGGAGGAGGTTCGTCTGTATGTATTTTTTTGTGTATGTTCATCGATATTTTCGCCAATGGTGAACCGATTTAAAAAAATCTTTTATAGTTCGAAAGGGTAATATGATCAATCCGAGGTGGTCCCATTATCATCAAGTCAGGATCTGATGATGGAATCTCAAGGAAATCTCTCTCTCGGTGCCAGCTGATACAAATCAAAGCACACCGACCTCGAAAATATTTGATTAGGTATCTATAGTAAATGAAAAGTACTAAACAGTTATTTTTTACTTTTTTTTGAAGTCGGTTTTTTTAAGTTTTTATTATAATAGTTCGTCCTCATTAATACAAATCATAGTTCAGGTTTTATATCCTATACTTGAAAATACCTAAAAATTCTCTATTCAACAATACATTCTCAAATACAATCTATTTATTTTAACAATCTCAGACGAACAAAAACAGAAAAGACATTAACAAAAGGTCGTATTTTCGTTTATTTCGTAATTATTAACATACGTTTTAATTTTATTTATACACTAGTTATTTATAATTAAAGAGATAAAAATTCAATTATTCCGCCACAGTTATTCGTTATTCGCATTCAGGTAGGCAGGAGGTAAATGTGTTCCGGTAATGAGTTTCGGTTTCGGCAACAAGTTGATTATGATAAAGTCATTTGT